ATGGAAAACTTTCACGTACACCAGTTCCAACCAGTGGCTTTTCCTAGGGGTTGAGGAAAAAATCTCCAAGGTCACTTTACAAATTCTCTTGCCTGAACTAAAAACGGCTGCACTTGAGAACAGACAAATCTCACATGCAGCAGACTTCCGAATACATTAGGAGGATACTGCCTCCCCGAGGAGGCGGGGCATGTACTCCTCAGCCTTTTCACCGTGGGCTGTGCACGGTGGCCTCCTTCCAGAACACAGTGCGCAGAGGGTGGAAAACAGGCAACAGGACAGTGAGGCAACCTCGGCCAGGCGAGCAAGCCACCTAACTGGGTGTGTGACACCCGGGAACCCTCTCTACTGCTGTCACGACTTTTATTTAATTCTAGAACTATTCTAATGTTAAAAGTTTATTTGAAAGAGAACCATGCAAGTAAAACCAAGTACTAAAACTGTTCAGCTGGGCTAGTTTCTTAGCTGCTCTACATGTCTCGGGGTTGAGCCAAGCAATGTGAAATTACCCAGTGCTGAGGACACAAATACTTGCTAGATCTATAAAAATAACTTGTAGTATTAGCATTTAAAATTCCTTAAAAATGGATAGAAGTAGGTTCAATTTCCCTGCTTCAGAGTCTTGAACTTACTCTCGGAAAAGGCAGAGTTCGATTCACCCGATCTACAAAATAGTTGCGGGAAAAAAGTTTGAAACCCAAATTATGCGACACCTAGCAGCAAAGCTCTTACCAAGTCCTCATTCTTGGCATTCTGCTCTCTCTCAGAGTCCAACATAAGACGCAGACTTTTAGCTTTATCATTCAGATTTTCCTTAGCTTCCTCAAGTTCCTTGATTTTATCCTACAGAAAAAGATATTAAAATTAGTAATAATTACTCATTAGTTTCCTTTGGTTTTTAGAACGTAATCTCAAAAAGAAGAGGGATTTTTACCTTATATTTAATTGCTTCATCAGAGAGAATCGTATTTTGTTTTTTGGTTTCTTGAACATACTTCTTTGATTCCTTGATCTATTTAAAGCAATCAAAATATAGAAATATGAACTATAGAGCTATCAAAACTTATCTCCATTAGGTGACACATCAGAAAAGAAAGTAGTATTTTACATGCATGATGATTACTTCAAATTGGATGATTTGTAGGAAATCATAGAATTTTAAAATATTATTTAAAAATAGCATAAGTAAACTGTAAGACAGGAGAAGGAAATAATTAAAGCTGGACCTGTGGAAGGGGGACTAAGAGAACTATACCTTCTGTTCATAATTCGATAGTTTTTGTACAAGGTCTGCATTTTCTTTCTTGAGATTGTTTAACTTCTCAGAAATCTGCTGTTCAGTGACTGAAAGGGGGGGAAATACATAATATGACTATGGTTACTAAATAAAACGGAATTACTCAATGTGTCAGCAACAAAGCCCTCTTATCCCGTACTGTGAAGGAAAAGAACTTCTTTAGTGTTAACTATCAGTCTTTAAAAAGCGACCTGTAGTTAAGAGCAGTAAGAGTGTAAAAGGTATATGAGTGCGGGCTGTGAATCAAAGTGTCGCAGGTTCAATTCCTAGTCAGGGCACATGCCTGGGTTGCAGGCCACGGCCCCCAGCAACCGCACATTGATGCTTCTCTCTCTCTTTCTCCCTTCCTTCCCTCTCTAAAAATAAATAAATAAAATCTAAAAAAAAGTGTAAAAGTATTATGAAGATTTAAGAAAACTAAAACTAGAACCTTTATTTCAATGAGATTCCAACTAAAAGTATTTCAGCGATAGAAAATACAGGAAAGTATTTTAGCCTGAGAGCCTTCCCTTCATGAAGCAGCTTTCTCTGCAGAAACTGCGGTCATTTCGAATACACACCACTTACAAAGAGAGCCAGACAGAAGTATAGCCTATTAATCTGCATTTCTGATTCCTCAAATTATCTATCTGAATAAATGAATACACTATATTGATTAAACCATCAGCACAGAACACTGTCCACATGCAATAAATTTGCATCCCATCCACATGTGCAGTCGGTCTCTGCCCCAAATTAAACCAATGGTCTTCTTCCTGCTCCCACAGGCTGTTCGACCTCATCTGTCTCAGGGGGCGGCCCTGCCATCTACTCTGTCATCCCCGCGGGCAACCTGGGGTTAGTAAAATGTTCAGGAGGCAATGAATCAGACATCAGATGTCACTATGTCTACTTCCAGGCTATAAAACTCATATTGAACACCACTAATGAGGGAACAGTAGGAAAAAAAGGTAACAAAATCAGTCTAAATATTTACCTTGGTACACGTGACTCTTTACCTAAAAGAGAGAAATGAAATTAAATTTGATGTCAAAACTTTTTACTATTAGAAATATTGGAGTTCTAATACAACAGTCAAATCATAACTACAAGAAAATTTAATGTTAGTTCAGGCTAATGAGCCATAGAATTAGAAAAAGGTTAAAAAGCATTTCAAATGTAATTGGTGGTGATACATAAATAGTTTCTGATAGATGAAAAACAATCAGGTAAATACCTCATTTTGCAACAAAAGATGATTTATATGTCTATTAAATGAGCACCAATCTTATTAAATAAGCATCTAACTTTAAAAATGAAAATGGGTAATATTTTCATATTAAATATACTAATGCTTCATTTACCAAAAATTATCTGACAATCCCGAACAGCCAGAATGGGGTATGGAAATAATGATAGTTCAAAAAGGCAAAATTAAATGCATTATCTTTGTACTAAGATACGCCTCTTCCTCTCACCAGAAAACACCTTGGAAATCCTATTCAAAGTTGACTACTGGCTGAAGTTAGAAATCTAAATGGTTTTTTCCTAAGTCCCTAACCACAGTGTCATAAACCTGAAAGGGAAAGGAGACGGCTACAGGAAAAGGCACAGACAACAAAGTCAGCTGACACCCAATTCATCTCCTAAAGACAGCACTTAGTTACATGACAATAAAATCTAACCAACAGTAAAAAAAAAAAGTGTTACTAAATGTCTTTGTAACCCTTAATTTATTTCTCCTTCAAATGTCATAAATGGTGATGAAATACTGAACTGAAAAAGAAACAAAAGGGCCAGCAATAATAAAATATTCCTTATATTTATGAGTCAAGGTATAAGTTGAGTTAATTTACTCACAGCAAGGATGGTTCTCCAGAAGAAAATGACAAATGAAACGATGCCCAGGAAGGCGGTGATAAGGACAGGCTTCCAGGGCAGCCCATAGAAGTCAGGGGCAGACTGCACGCCACCAGGCAATGTAGAAAGTAGCTGAAACAGGAATATCAGAAATAATGGGAAACCATTAAAAAAAATTACAATAGAACAGCCACAAAGAATGACAGAGAAATTCTAAATCAATCTCTGTTGAAGAACTACCTCCTCAAAAACCTTCAATAGCTTCCACTGCTTCAATTAATACTGGGAACCTCACATTTCTTGTTCGGTTTGAAATGCTTCTGAACATTATGAACCTAAACTTCTTTAAGTTGTGCATAGATTCCAGTTTTCAATATCACACCCCACATCATGTTGCCTAACACATGTCGAGAATCCCTGTGCATCGCACTTTTAGTTGATTTTTATGACTTAAAAAGCCACATAAAACAAAAAATTGACATACTATAGACTTAGTAAACTTCTATGGCAAATAAAACTGAAATGATAATACATAACACAAATGTGCTTTTCCTCTAGGATTTTAAATCTTAATTTTATTCCACTCTTACCTAAAGACAAATGCTGAAGACGTTCAGACAGCAATACCTGGCCTAGACTTCTCTGAAGTTAACTGTCACCTATAAAACTCGATGCCCTACTTTTAAACGCTTCCTCAAAGGCAGTGCAATACACACCTGCCTGCTTCTCCACTGTTTTCACTGCCCTCTCCCTAGCAGCACACAAGTAACTGTCAGACTGGCCCCTCCCCCAACAGTGCCAGGGTCACTGGAAAAGGAGGACCCGTAGGGCCGTGATAATCGCTGTCCTAACAGCAATCACATACCAGCAAGTACCACCGTGCCTGCTACACCGTAACTGCTCAAAAAAAGCGAACAAGTGGGGACACCTACTCAGAAACACGCCCACTGGTCCCCTTAAACAGCACTGCAGGGTCCTGCCTGCCCCAGGCCCGACACACTCCATTACTCCCTTGCCCCATCTGTCGGGGCACCCGCTCCACTCAGAACGCGTCCACCAGCCTGCCAGAGCTGGGGTCCCTCCCCGGGAATGGGGACCGTCACCTCCAGGAGCTTGGCTATAAGGGCTGCGTAGAGCACCGACAGGGGTCCTAGAAGCTCCGAATCCCCCGCGGAAGCGGGGACAGAAGGCACAGTGGCAGGCACTGAGTCCATTGTGTGCGGAAAGAAGAGCGGAGGCGACGCTTCTCCGTGTTGCAGCACCGGACCCCCCTCTCTTGTCACCGTCTCCTCCCTGGGAAACGACCCGAGGGGAGGATCCTGGGATTGAACTTCGCCTTCCCGGGACAGGCACTTTCCACCTTGCACCTTCCGTGAAACACGTCACCGGCCCCGGCCCCTGGGCCGACGTAAACGTGCCAGCGGAGGCCGGGCGCGCAGTGGGCGGGGCCCCGGCGGAAGGAACCAATGGTCGAGCGGGGCGGGGGAGCCGAGCCTGCGCGGAAGAAACCACACGCAGCGCCGTGGGTAGGACGCGGGCTCACCTGCCTCAGCAACTGGGAGGCACAGTGATCCCGGGGCGGAGCGGAGCTACGAGCTACGAGGGGGAGAACGGCCGGGGCCGGCCGCTCACGTCTGCCCGGGGATGGACCCTCTGTCACTGCGGGCAGAAACTCGAGACGCCTGTCGCCTCTCTGGCCCCCTCTGAAGGACCACCACCCCGACCCCGCGGCCGGCTCCTGGGCGCGGCCTGCCTTCCCTGGCGTCTCCCGCCCCCGGCCCCCGGATCCCTCCCCCCACCCCAGAGGCTCACACGGCCTCACGCTGTTGCTGACACCCCATAAAAAGCCGTGTTCTGAGGAACCGGCTCATTATCGCGCCCATGCCATTGGGTTCTGTTCGGGGTCCCACACCTGACAGTTTACGCGGGCTTTAGGGAAAGAGACGAGGATTATGAAGAAACCAGGGCCACTAATCTGGAGAAAAAGCCAATTTCTGCAGCTCTTTAAAGGTATGTCTTTGGGTTGGATATAAAGACAATTCAGAACAGAGAAGCAAGGGCAAGCGGGGAAAATCCTGAAAAATCGGGGAACGGAGGGGAAGGGACGGGAGGTGAAGGCAGGCCCCGTTATTAGAGTGGTTCTGGCCCAAGAATAGACGGATAGATCATCGAACAGAATAGAAAATCCAGAAATGGACCCAGCGGCATTGGAAATCTGGGATACAGTAGAAGTCAGCTGGGAAAAACGACGTTTTAATAAGTGGTGCTGGCATAACTAAATAGCCATATGGAAAATGATAGAATGGCCTTTTTCTCACTGTTCATGTGAATGAATTCTAAATAGACTAGAAAACGGAATGTAAAAATAAGAACAAGTACTAGGAAAAATACGGGTGAATTTCTCCATGTAATTATGTCTCAACATCCAAGGGAAATAATTTATAAAACGTGATTACTTAAAATAAAGACACCCTGTCCAGCTCCTGCACACACACACACAAAAATGCCAAATAAGCCAAGTCTACAATGACAACCTAAGAAAAATATATTTGTAACATATACAAAGGGCTGATATTCCTAAAGTGTAAAGAACTTTATAAATAAGTAGAAGAAAACGGCCAGCAAGCCTACAGAACGGGCTGAAAAATGAACAGACAGTTCTCAGGAAGAGAACCAGGAACAGTGACGGACATATGGAAACGAGCTCTGCCTCGCGCAGATGAAAGAACGCAGCTGGGAGACCACTCCTCGCTCGCACGGGCGAGATCCAGACGTCGGACAGCACGCCCTGTTGGTGGCAGAGCGGAGGGAGACGGGACTCTCGGACGCTGCTGTCGTCCTGGGAAATGGTTCAGCCCCTACGAAGGGGAATGGGGCATCATCTCCCCAGATGACCTGTGTGTTCACCTACTGATGGAGCGATCCCACGACCTACGGTCGCAGGTAACGCAAGGACAAATGGTGAAAAGATACGTGCACAGTACCATGTTACTCCAACACTTCATCTAATAACAAAAGACTGGAAATAACCAAAACGTCCATCGGCAAGAAGAGCCGTGGAATGAGGTATACTATGAAACCAGAAGACAAGGATTCCATAATTCTGTACCCTGCTAGGGTATGTTTTCCAGAATACTTTTTTAAAGGAGGGGTGGAGAAATTTGAAATAGTATCATCTAAAAAAGTAAGAGGAGCCAAACACATTTTTATGGATTTCAGGTAAAACTGACATGCAATAAGCTACACGTGATTTAAAATGCAGTTTAAGTTCTGACATGTGAATACACCTATGCAACCATCGTCACAGTCCAGGTACTGAACATAAACCCCTCACTTCCATGTCTCCACATCCCCTTGGTAACCCCACCCCCTGCCACTGGCCACCCCGCCCCAGCCCCTCCAGCAGAACTTCTGCCGTAAGAGATCAGCTCGCTTGTCCCGAAGTTGCGCACAGTCGGAACACTGCAACATGCATCCTGTTCTCTCTGCCTTCTCTCACTCGGAGTGACTGGCGATTCACCCACGCTGCTACGCACATCAGCAGATAACTCCTCTTTATCGCTCAGCCGAATTTCATGTGCGTGGCTATACCATTATTTATTTATGCACCTGTTGAAGGACATTTGTTTTTATTTCCAGTTTTGACTTTTACAAATGGAACTGCTATGAACAAATCCTTCTGTGAATGTGTAATTTATTTTCTCACGGATAAATGCATAGCCAAGAGGTGGCTGGATCATCTGACAGGGGTGTTTCCCTTTTGAAGAAACTGACACACTTTTTCCCAAGGGGTTGTACCAGTCTACATCCCCTCCTACAGTGCATGGTATTTCCAGCTCCTCCATCTTCAACAGCCAGTACATCGGTCTTCTTCATTTTAATCATTCTAATGAGCGAGTGGTCATAACTCAAGCTTGTTTGAACTCATGCTTTCCTGATAAACATTGATACTGAGCATCTTTTCATGTGCTTATCGGCTGCCCACGTAACTTCTTTGGTGAAGTGTTATTTTACTGGGTTATCTGCTTTCTTCTTAATGAGCTTTCAGAGTTCTTTCTATATTCTGGATACGCCTGTTATCAGAAATATACTTTGCAATGACTCCCAGTCTATGGCCTGTCTTTTCATTCGCAGTATATTTTGAAATGCAGAAAATTGTATTTGATGAAGTCCAAACTATTCACTTTTTCTTTATGAATCATGCTTTTGATGTCAAATCTGGGAATCTTTACCTAATGTTTTCCTAGAAGTTCTACTGTGCTTGGTTTACACTCAGGCCTATGAAGCATTTGCGTTAACTCATGTTTATGATGAGAGGTGTGGATTAGATTTTTGCACAGGGCGTGTCCAATGATTCTAAAATCACTTGTGAAAAGGGCTTTCCTTTCTCCACTTAATTGCCTTTCCACCTTTGTCAGAAGTTCATTGCCATATATGTATGGATCTACTTCAGGATTATCTATTCTGTTCCAACGCTAATTACTGCAACTTTATAAGAAGTCTTGAAATCAGGTCATGTTTGTGCTATTGTAGGTCCTCTGCATTTTTTTATATTACTTGTAGAATCAGACTATCATTTTAGAAAAAAAGTCCTGCTGGGGTTATGTTGACTCTAGTGATCACACTGGGACATTAGCGATGTCTGACCTACTTACTGTCTGTTGTCATGACGATGCGACAGTTTAACAGTAGTCATCTGACTCATGAAAACCGTACATCTCTCTACATACTGGGGTCTTCTTGGTTGGAGACCTGTCTACTTTTCCATGTAGTTCTACTAGTGTCTGCTGCATACATTTTGAAGATCTATTACCAGGAACATAATATGCAGGACTGTTTTGTTCTCTTGATTAATTGACTCTTTCATCACCAGAAAATAAACGTTCTTTACCCCTGGTTTTCAGGCCTTTGGACTCTGCCTGAACTACACCACCGGCTTTCCTGGGTCTCCAGCCTGCAGACTGCAGATTGCGGGACTTCTAGCTCCACGCGTGTGTAGGTAAATTCCTTACAATAACCCTCTTCCTGCACACAGGCAGACCTCGCTTTACAGCACTTCACAGACTGCATTTTCATCGACGCCGAGGCAAGCCCCTCCTCTAGCGAATGGTCTTGCCTCAATGAAGGCCCAGTTCGTGGTTAGCATTTCAGGTTTGTTAGGTCAGGCAGGAGCGGCGTTTAGTCTGAGTGGGACCCTGCTGAGTCCTCTTTCCAACCCCCCCAGAATGACAAGCTTCTGTTCTTGGCACCGTGTCAGAAACTGTTGCCTCGGGCCACTCAGACGGTTTCCCTGACCTGCACTGGTCTTGTCACTCGCACGTGTGGTGGTCGAGTTGATGCTGGTACTTTTAATACTATTGTGTGATTGTTGTAAGATAAAGTAAGTAATCGTGCTGATGTTATTGAAAACTGGGATTTCCAACATCGGAGAAAGAAGACGCAAAAGTAAGATACATGAGGTTAAAAAAATCCCTCTAGCATCCTCAATTTTGATTGAGAGTATCCCTATGGTATCACAAGGAATATTCACACACAAAAAAAATCCACCCATTTCCTAGCTGTGTCCGCGTAGAAGGCCTGGCAATGCCAGCTGACTTATAAGCAGTGAGCAATCTTGGGAATGAGAACGTATCCTTAACAGGAGCCAGGGCCCCACAGACAGATAGCTCCCGAACCTGGCTGCCAGTTCCAGAAGATACGAAGAACCAGAGAAACACGTTCAAGTATACTAGGGGACGCAATTAGCAAAACCCAGACCGCGATCCCCTCCAGAAGCCAGACAAACCGTTTATTCAGTGAATACACTGCAGCAAACACAACAAACAAAAGGAGAGATATATCAGTCACTGTTATGATACTTGTCCTTCCGCTGAAAATAACTAGAAAACTAGACAAAATATATGAAAAAACCCTACTTTTCAGATAGAGACCAAGCAGTGCACACCTGCCAGCCTTGAGAGAAGGGACACAAGTAAGGGGACCCTGATGGTCCCCCTACTTTCTACCTGGAGGCCCTTTCCAGACCTCGGCACGGGGAGGGAACCCTAGGCAGAGGACACCAGTGTCACTGAGGAGGCAGACATCAGAGCTCAGGGAGACTGAGGGCCCTGAAATGCACAAAGAAAGACACCAGCTAGAGGACAGCTCCAGAGAAAAGGGGTTCCATAAATCTGCAAGGAGGTTTCCTTCTGTCTTGGGCTGAACTGAAAGCAACACCTATGTAATAAGGTAATTATTCCCTAAGGATGCCACCCTCCCCCCAAAAACCTATAGACAAAAACAACAACAACAAAACAACCTACCAGAAGCTGGAAGCTGAACAATTCCCAGAGTCAACACAGGGCTGGGAGACCGAGGTACCCCAGCGAGTCAGAGTGCACCAACCTGACTGAATGGTCAGGGAGGTATTCAGCAGATTCCAGGAGTCACACCTTAGAAGCAGGCTGCACTTGTGCTGAAGACTACTGTGTATACCTCCCTAGCAAATCTTTAAAAGGAGACCAGAAGGATCAGGCGGATCCTCAAGTAACTTAACAGACTACTAGAGCAAACTCCAACCCTTTTTAAAAGGAAGCCACTAAAATCTAGGCACTCAACAACATAATATTCGCAGTGCTCAGCATAAAAACAGAAAACACTAGACATGCAAAAAGCAGGCAAGCGTGTCCCATACCCAGTGGATAAGTCAATCTAGAAAAACAGGCCAGACAGGCCAAGAAAATGCAACAGGGATGAGAGATTCAATTAGCTTACAAGATCTTTAAAGGTATTTTAAAAAATACTTAAGAATTTTTTGAAAAATAACAAAACCATGACCACACTGAGGAGAGAATTGGGAGATATGAAATAGAACTAAGTGGAATTTTTACAGATAAAAAATAAAATGCCAAACTGAAAAATTTGTGTGATTGGTTTAACAGCAGATTGGATACTAAAGGGAAAAAGACAGAAAGGAATTACCTAAATGGAAGATAACTGACACTGTTTGCAAAAGTTTACTCAGAACAGAGCACAGACCAAACACGAAAGGATTAACCATAAAAATTCTAGAAGAAAACAAAAGAAATTATTTTCATCATAAGAAATCTAAGATTTCTAAGGCAGGAAACAAAAAGCACTAACCCATGAAAGCAGAAATTAATAAAGTGGTGCTCATGGAAATTTAAAACGTGCACTTCAAAAGACAGTGTTAAGAAACTGAAAGGCCAGGCAACAGACTGGGGAAACCGTGGGCAGCTCTGCCTCCCCCTCTGCCAGCCTGGGCCCGGGCCCTGCTTTTCTGGCCCCCCTACCTAGGCTCCTGTGTTCCTGTTTCCTTCTCCTAAGTTCCAGAGCCTTCCTTTTGCTTCCCTAACCTGTTTCCCGAGCTCACCCAGCCTCACTTCTGACACAGCTCACTTCTTCTAGCTCGGTGATCTTCTAAATAAACTTTTCCTTGTATTTGAAAAAGAAATGATCTGCAGTATGTGTGTGGATGCGCTGAACAAAGGAATGATTCGTGTGATGTCATCACGCTATGCAAAACGGCTTGCAATCTATTTCTGGGGTTTTCCACTGAATATTTTTGGACCGCAGTTGAGCACTGGTAGCTGAATCTGCATGAAGCAAGACTGTAGATAAAGGGGGACCCCTGTATACATAGTCCTACAATGGGTACATTTAAGTGTATGTAATTTATATGTGATTAAAGTTGTTTTAAGACATGTGTCAACTGATTATAACATCTGGACCTCAACAAGATCCTGACTTTGAACTCGAACAGTTTTGAAAAGGAGCGGGGGGGAGATTTTGAAAGTGCCAAATACTGGCTGATATTAACCAATTACCATTAAGCTAAATGAGAAGTCCAGATTCATTTTATTATTTTCTCTGCTTGTGTATGTCTGAGATGTTCCATGATATAACACATTTTAGAAAATTAAAGCATAACTTGGAATACCGAAAGGATTACTATGTAGAAAAGGAATCAGAAGACATCCTGTGGAGGAACATTTGGAGACAGTGTAAGAACCGAGCTAGCCAGGAGCATCTGTGAGGCAGGTGGCTCACACCAGGGATTCTGATGCCCAGATTTTGTAACAAATGTCAGGGCTGGAGGAGAAGAAATGACTCAATTAATGAGAAATTGGGCTAGTTGCCTTCTCAGAACAACAACAACAAAGCCCTCTTTCCTACACAAACCTTGAAATAACAGGACCCAGAGGACAAGATTTTTGTTAGGGGAGGATACTTTACAGCTCGGAGGGCAGCTTGGCCTCCCACTTGTAAAAGCCTGCTCATTTCAGCAATTTACCCTGAAAAACACCCAATTTCAACCAACACCACAAGGGGGCGCTAAGCCCTAAGAAAACTCAGATCAACTTCTAGACAGATTAAATGTCACATTTGGATCTGGACTTCCTTTGGAAAGATAAACCTGAATACACATTCCAGCGAAACTCTTTCTAAGAAACAAGTCTGACCATACTCCTTTCCTGCTAAAAACTCCCAAGGACACCCATCCCTAACAGTCTAACGCAGCACGACACACACCCTGCTTTCTGTCTGCCGTCTCCCCGGCTGTGCACCTGAGCGCCAGCAAACCTTCCCTGGCCGCCCCGTCTCCCACCCCCACCCTTCCGTTCCACAGCAAACTACATGTCAGACTCCAGCTGGGCCTTCAGCTCTGCTCAAAACATGTCTCAGACCCCGTCTGACCTTCTCCGACCCCCTCCCACCACTACAGACCAATTTCTTCAACACAGGACTCCACCGGCACCGAAGCCCTTCCCGTTCTGCCTGCACGACAGACACTCTGTGCAAGTGAATGCACACAACATCTCCCGGCCAGACAGGACGGCCGTCGCGGGGAGGGGCGCGCTGCACGCCGAGCGCCAGCCCAGCACGGGCATGCAGCAGACCCCTTCAGGTCCAGCCGTGAGCGGAGCACCACCCAAGTTGCGCCCCTGCGGCTCGTTTCGGGGGCCTGTCTGCCACAAGTCAGGAGTGACTCCTGTGGATACATTTTACATGTTTCACCCCACGTTCAAAGTCTACTTAAAAACGTTCTATTTAAAGAAGCGTACACGTCGAACTTGAGAACTTACCGTCTTGGTTAAGTAGGACACGAATGACTGCAGGAAAAGAACCGCGTTTTCCAAAGGCTCTTCGTCGGGTAGTTCCGGTTCCTCCTCTTCATCAGCATCAACATCAGCATCGTCAGGACTGCTTTCAGTCACAAACATCTCTAAAATGGAGGAGGAAAACGAGTGCATTTCATTTTACAATTTAGGGTAAGAGTTGTTTCTCGTCACCTAAAATCCTTCTGGAGTGCCCACAAAATAGCGGCCCCTGTGCCTGCACCTCTCTCGCTCCAAGACAGTTATGCAGAGAAAAAACTTCAGATTCCCACTCACGTCGTCATGCCCTTCAACGATGCATTGGGCATGCGTGCTCCAACACACTCTCCCTCGCCAGACTAACGAGTTCCTCTCCCTGCTGTGACCTCTCCTGCACTCTGCACTCTGCAGGGGGTCACAGGGTAAAATGATCCCTAGGCTCCCAGGCCTTTAAAGACACGGACACAGGAATGATGTCATGTCACCATTAAGACATCACGATCAGCTGTTCTTATGATTCCCTGCTAAAATGAGCAAGCTACATAAAAACTAGAAAGCCGCTGACACCATGATTGGGGTTGTCTTTTTAAAAATTTTGTTTTTAAAACAACTTTCTCAATTCAAACAAAAAGAGCAGCCCCCCTGCTAGACGCTCACTGTGCTCTGAGATTCGGACGCTGTTCGCAAGCGCCAGTCTCCACTGGACCGCTGCGTGCTGCGGCGCTCCGTGCCGTTTGCTGCTCTCTTACTTGGGGGTGGGGGGCGTGAGTGTGGAGTGGAGGGAAAGCACTGAATTTGTGAGGATTGGAGCAGTGGCTCTTGGACACTGATTTTCAACCCCTCCGAGTTTCCTGGAGGGCCTGTTAAACGCAGTGCACTGGTGCCCACCCCCAGAGCTTCC